TGGCACTCTCAGACTGTGACAGACATGTGTTGGCTTGGTGTGGGCCTATTTTTATATGTTTTATGGTCTGACTGCCCGACGGGCTCTGTCCGGGGGGGGGCTTGACCTGTCCGGTAGGGGGATTAAGCCCCCTGCTGGCGCCGCCACTGACAGAGAGGCACTTATATTATATCGAGCCACAGGAAGCTGTCCACACGACTAACTCCCTAGTTCATGTACAACGATTGGCTATTAGATTTAAAGGTTATTAAACTTCCTGAATAACTTATTCAGCTGTTAGTAGTGATGGAATATTTCACAGTCGAGGCAGCAGACCATGTTCAATAATAAGTATATTATACACTGCAGTTCACTGCTAGGCCAATGAGGATCTCGAGGCATGTTATTGTGCAACTATTAATAGAGAAATTATAATGGACTGGTAAATTCACAACTCATTGTACAACAGAACACAGTCATTGGTGCAGCAGGTTCGGTGTAGTCTTTCAGCTATTGAGGTCAGTAAATTATAATTTAAGCATGCTTTTTTAAAGGATTGTTTAAGAATTTTTTTTCCCACATCAAATATTAATGGTGACTGTCTATATATTAAGTCTTTTTTTCTGAGCATATAAAATAAATATAAAAAACCAAGGGTGGGTCGAATTTTTTTCCTCTCAAGGAGCTTCCAAGCTTCAATTAATAATTTTGACATCTGAGTCAGACATTGATTTAACCCTTGCGGTTACTATTCTACCAAAAACACTAGAATTAGTAATTACTGTAAATATAATAGTATTTTTGGCCTCCCGTAATTGTTCAAAAAAGTGAATAAGTGCTGCACCAAACATAATTTTTTTCGCTGAGCACGGCTCTCAAATAAGCCCCGCGGTGCTTAATTGAGAGTAGATTACCTGTGTGTAATAAAACGTTTTGAGAAACAGGGTATTAAATACAATGTATACAGCGTTAAAATGAATAAATAACACAATGAAGACAAGCATTTCTTTATAAATGTTTATGGCCTACTGAACTACGGGAATACTGTATGTGAGATAAATAACACTGAAGCCTCCAAAAATTTTCCAAGTGTCGCGGCGCTTTTTCGAGCATTTACGGTAATTTATTTATATATACTGTGAATAAATAACACAATGAAGACAAGCATTTCTTTATAAATTTATATTTACCGCCTACTGAACTACGGGAATATGTGAGATAAATAACAATGAAGCCTCCAAAAATTTTCCAAGTGTCGCGGCGCTTTTTCGAGCATTTACGTTAATTTATTTATATATACTGTGAATAAATAACACAATGAAGACAAGGTTCTTTATAAATTTATATTTACGGCCTACTGAACTACGGGAATATGTGAGATAAATAACAATGAAGCCTCCAAAAATTTTCCAAGTGTCGCTGCGCTTATTCAAGCATTTACAGTAATTGATTTTATATATACTGTAATTTTCTTTATTCTTAATCTTTGCCAAAATCAAGAACATAAACAAATACAATAAATCAACTCGGGGAGGAGGCAGGAACCAAAAAATGAACTAAACCACTGTAACAAACGTTACTTGATTCCTCACTCCTAAAGACTTAACATAAGAATAAAATTTATATAAAAATAAATTCCATACTAGATTACTGTATTTAGAAACATATACTACTGCGGATTAAAACTTTCTGGATTCTGACTCATGATGACTCTCAAAGTTGCTTAATGCAAATTGAATAGTAAGGGCTTTACTTGTGTTCTAGGCAACCTACTGATATGCACTTACCCTGCCATTGAGGACAATATTCTGACTGCCACACAATACTGACTGTCTGCTCACCTTATTGCCAGATGCCTGGAAAATAATATGATTTAATATCAATAACAATGATAAAATAATTAATAATTTATTAAATATATTACTGAAAACTAAACATTTGTTTAGAGTGGCCATGAGGTTTACAGCAGTGTCTAATATCTTCGCATCTAAGATGCGAAGGTGAAATTGGGGGCTCAATGATTATGTGAGGGGGAAGGTAGGTCGCAAAATAAGGTAGGTCGCAAAATAAGGTGACTTTTAACTACTTGATTCTTTTGCTCGACTTGTGTCACCATTAGAACTCGTCCAATGGATATAATAAAATTCAATAGCGTTAAAGTTGTGGGACGAGTGATTAAGACTGAATTGAAGATAGTGATTCAAGTGCTGGACAGACTGAGAAGGAGACTGAAAAAATGTAACAAATTATTAATCTATATTAAAAATACCTTATTTAAATAAAATTAAATAATTACACAAAGCAGATGAACGTAACTCAAACTTATATTAAAGTAATTGACGATAGTTTGAAACAATCTATTATTACGATAAAGTAGAACACATAAGCCCCGTTCATATCCAACTATGGCGAGATAATTTTAGTGGATGAGCTAGAAGATCTCGCCATAAGTTTGAGTATGACCGCTCAAGTATGGCGAGATGAAGGCCACAACTCGACTAAGCCCGTCGAGTAAATTTATGTCGACTAACTTCTTAATCCAGCCTAAAGCCAGTAAACAATTAAACAGCGGGTGCCCACAGGTCACGAATACACCAATCAAATTGAAGCAAAGTGACCTTCCATGCTTGCTGGTTAGCGCATTTTTTAGTTACTGTCATAAACACCATTCAGAATTGACGTAGTCTCCCTGATCTGTGTACTTTAATTTCAACAAGTCTTATTTTGCAAATGATGGCCAAAAAGTCAGTAAAGAAACGCCATCTCTGGACGTATGCGCAGGAATGTGATTTAATAGATATCTGGAGGGAGCCAGAAATTGCCGAAAAAGTTAAGAAGATAAATTGTATCGTCAGAAGGTTGGTGTCCACGAAAGGATAGCAGAGAGAATGCGGGACTTAGGCCACAATAGCATAACATTGGCAATTGTTGTGACAAAGTTGAAAAATCTAAGAGCAAACCACAAGGATGTGAGAGACGTTTTTATTCGTGGGACGGGCAAGGGGTCGGCCAATGTAATAAGGGATGACCCGAAATCGGCATGCCAACACTACCACACGCTAAACGAAATACTTGGGGGAAAACCCAGTGTAAACCCTCCAGCTGGACTCCTCGGCCAGTCTAATCAACCACCGAGACCTAGGCCTAGCTTACGCCTATAGTCTCGATCTAGCATAAACTAGTCGCGCGAAAATCAACAGTAATTACCCACCATGCGATTGTACTTCCTGTCTAATGATGTGTTTTCCGAATTTC